GAAAAGTTAAAATTCTGGTTTTACAAGTGAAAGTTTTCTCATTCAAAGTTAGATTTTTACAGTTTAAAGTGGGATTCGAACAAGTCCCTGAATGAGATTTTGGGTTGTTTTTCTATTTTGTTTGAAATTGAGAATCTTAAAAGCGACTAAAACTAAAATATATGAATATATAAAATTCTTGATTTTTCTAGATTGTATTTTAAAACATATTATTTAAATTTTAAAACAAAAAAATCCTGTTTCTCACATTTTCGCTAAATGACCAGCTAGTTTCATCTCGACAAAAATTCCTCAAAATTTTCCTTATTAAGTTCCGCTTTTTATAACATTAAGTTCTATCTATTCTATACTTTCACAAAAAAAATTTTGTTTTTCTTTGAGTGTCTTTATATAATTTTATTTCGGAGCAATAATAGCAATCAAATTGCAATTTTCAAGCTCATTATTTTCACAATAATTTTTCTCTTTTATCGGTTCCCCTTTTTCAACACAAACTCAACGTAAAATTTTATTTAACTCAAATATTATTTATAATCATGATATTGTTCCGTCTTTATTGTTTCTTCTTCTGCAGTATAAAATGTATTTTTATTGGCTTATTGTTCTGTTATCGTACGAGACTTAAATAGACAATTAAAATGTATTTTTAATTCTTTTCTTCCTTTTTTTCTCATTGTAATCCTTATTATTATTTATTCATGTATTGAAATTGGTTTTTAATAATTGTATAAAAATTGAACAAAATACATGCGAGAATAAAAATACAACATAATGTATACAATTTAATGACTTAACCCCTTTTGGAAATTTTTTTGTTGAACAAATTGCTAGTAAGAGCCTTTGTTGAGCTTTTCATGTAACAATAAAGCAACAGAAGGTTCGAAATAATCAACAAAAAAATTTCCTTCAAAAAAGAATAACTGCTTAAATTTTTTGTGGAACTAAGGGAGGTATGCACATTTTTGAGGTGATGTAGACACATAGGATACGATTGCAAGATCACAGCATGAAAATTTTAGACTTTACTATTAAAAACTCCGTTGATAATAGACTGCCATGCCTCCGTACCCCTTGAATAATCTGGCATCAGTAAGATGGGAATTCCCAGTGGCCCAATACATGCTAAAGTCATCGTTTACAAACTGATGCATCCCATAATTTTAAAAAAAATCAAAATTTTGCAAAATTTGATGACCTTGCTACCTGAAAATCAAGCTACATCCTTTTTAAAATGCGTATACTTTCCTTTCCCATTAATCACAGCAACAATCACACAAACTCATAGCTTTATGTAAAAAGTTAAATAACTGCATTTGTTTCGTTCAATTAAGCAACTTTCTATTATATTTATTGTGCTTATTTTATGTACTCATGTTGTAACTGCTTATATCAATTTATCAATATGAGAGCTTATTGTTGTCGTTGTATGCGTTTTTGAGAAAAAAAAAGTTAATAACTGGTGCTTTGTAGAGCAAGATATTATGTGTTCAGCTTTTAAGGATGTGTAGGACAAAACCATTGATGAACTTATGAGAAGCTAGAATGATTTTAAATTGGATTTAAAATTGAAAAATTGATTGGAACTTAATATCAAGGTATTAATTTGAAAAAAGGTTTCTAGAATTACAAAGTGTGACGCAGTTTTCGTCGTAAAGCTCTTCCAGTCATTGCTGTCATGATCAAGCGTTACAGGCTTTAGCTTAAGCTTTACTTCTTGAACATAATGCATGAAAAATTCGTTTAACAACAATTTTCAAACTCTTTGGATCCTCAAAGCTCCTGGGAAATTATTAACATCTCAATGACATCAAATATTCAGCATATCCTTAAATAAATCCATAAATCATTCTATCTTCCAGCAAGTTCAACACAAAATCCATTGGAAAAACATGTGTATCCATAAATAGATAAAATAATTGAAAAACTTTACAAGCTATAATGACATGTTAGTGTTTTGTAACACAACAAACCAGACTTGCGTCATTTCATTTCGAAGAAATTCGAAATTGGCTTCAAAAAATTCGAAATTTATTTCGAAAATTTAAACTCAATTCAACCGGTAAAACTTTAAAAAATTCTATGCTGAATTTTGAGCATTTTAGCTATGATAACTACTGTCAACTAGCTTAGAATCAAAGCTTGTTATTATTTATGAACATTGATAAGCTTTAAAATCATGAATATCAGGAAACAAAAGAATTTTTTGCAGAAATATTTTCAAGAAATTTTTACACTAATCCACTTACATTTTTTTGTTGACATTTTTCAATTTCAATTGAATTTTCTTAATTTAGGAATTTTCTTACTTGAAAATGCTTGAAACAATGATTAACAACTTACTGATCACATAATTAATGATACTGATCGAAAAGCTTCATAATCTGTAGCTTAATTAAAGCAAAATTTTGTTTTATGGTTTAACGGAAAATAAATTTTGAATTTTTCAAAATTTTATATAACTGCCAACATTCGAAATGACGCAAGTCTGCAACAAACTTTATCTCCATTTTACTTCCTTTCCTTATATTTGTTAGACTAATTTTATGCCTGTAGCTTTTTGTGACACATTATTAAGTTTTTTTTTTTTTTGTGGAAATTAACTCTTTTTTGCAAATTGGCATGTTTTTTACTATGACTTAAGGAATTTTCGAGCAAACGATAAAGTTTGTCCATTTTAGTCGTCTTTAATTAACACTTTAGTTACTAGAGATGGAATACTTTTCAGTTTTTTATCACTACTTTATGGCATTTATGCTGAAAACAATGAAAATTTAAATTGATGGTGAAAGTTTAAAGCTCTCGTTCCTTATTCTTGTCATGCTGAATAAACGATTGAAGAAAATGCGACCATTGTCATCTGTAATCATCATGGTATGACCAATGGAAAAAAATATGAGAAGCTTAAGACTTTTTGCTTTTAAATAAAAATTTGAGGTTAAAAATCTTTTTTTCTGGACGTTTCTTACAATGTGTATGGGGGCTAGGACCTAGCTACAATTCTGCTGCTCTGAAAAATATTAAAGTATAAAATAATACAAAAGAAACAGAAAGAAGAAAAGAAAAAAAGTTTTAAAGAATATTTTCTTTTTATCGAAACAGTTTTGTAAAATGTTTACAATCTCAATCTTTTCATGTTTTATTTATGATAAAGAATTGGTGTTTTGTTGCTTCGAGTTAATCTCAACACAAAGTATTGTTTTAACAAGTTTTTCAATGAATTTTTTAATGATTTGATTCAAATAAATCATTGATCATGGATTAAATTTGTCATTTTCTAATGGATCTGTCATATCGAATTTATAAATGATTAAATCTCACACATTGATGACTATTTTTCTGAATTTTTTTATGATTCATATTATTCACCCCGGAGCAGAAAAGGTCATTAATATAAAAACTCAATAAACTCCTTGAAATGCATTCAAAAACTCAATTGAAAAGTTTAACCTAAAAAAAAACTTTGCAATTCTAAATATGAAAACCACATACGAATCACTTTTAATAATAAACGTTAGCAAATATTTGAAAAGGAAAGGAAGTTGGAAAGAAAAATAAAATTTGCATAACTCAATAGAAAGTATGAAAATGTATTTCGTTAAGAATAAAAATGTCATCACACACACACACACATGATTCATGTAGAAGTTCACTTTGCAGCTTTTTTCTGCTTTCTCATGTAATTCTTTTATCTTGCAAATTCACATTCTGTGCTTGTCATATTTATCATAAAAATCGAGCATTTACACTTTCCACCATGAACACACATACATACACATAATAAAATAATGCAGTAAGGTAAATAGAGCATAACATACGAGCTTTTTTTGATGTCATCAATCATTGTATCGTTCATAATATGAGAAGCTAAAATGGAAAATAAGTGAGAAATTGATGGGGTTGTAGTCTCAATTGCCTTAGTGATATACCATTTAACTCATATTTACATTCATTCTTGGTATGAGCCTTTTGAGACGCATTAACTATAATAACACAATAGTTTGACCCCTTCTGCTTATTCATCTCTCTATCCCCCCAATCTATTTGTATTGATGACAATAATTATATTATATCTATACTTTGTGGCATTCTCTTCATTTTGTTTGATGATATTCTGTGGCTAATGATTTATGTGCTAATTTTGAGTCTATTGTATTCCTTTTGTGTCATCTCTTCAATTATCATAATTGTATGGTAATTGAGCAAGTAAATATATTTATGTGTTGTGTGAATATTATATGATTTTATCATTGCATTTTGGATTCTACTCAACTTCCAATATGCTTAATTTGCATAAATTTTACTTCCTGGTTTTTCTTTTTCGTTTTTTTTGGTATTTTTTGGTTGTTGGTTTATGATGAAAACTATTCGGAAAATGTGCCTGCAAATTGTGTTTTGAATTAGGTTGTGATTGTTTTTTGAACGAACTTTATTACAAGGAGTACAAAAAACCTGAATATTTAAAATGCTTGGTACTGATAAAATTGGGATTCGAACTAAATTATTCAATGAAATTTCTGCTTTTATCCCACAAAGAAGCTCTGTAAGTTAAATCATGTTCTATAATTGGCTACTCTTCACTAGTTTTGCAGTAATAAAATTTATATTAGTGAAAATCTAAACTACTTAAAGGTAGAACTTAAAAAATCATCAATATTCAAAGCATTTATTTTAATTAAATAAATTCAACCACAATTTCTGAAAAAAAAAAACAGTTTTATATACGACATAGCAATACACCGAGTAGCTATCTTAATAATTAAAAAGCCACAAAATTGCGATATTTAATTAAATCTAATTTGCAGACAAATTTTAAAGTTTGAATAGTTTTTTGTCTACGTTCTTCAACGTCTTTATCTCTCTCCTTTTTATATTCAATTTTAAATAAAATGTTCTTTCATTGTACCCGAATTAAAAAGTTAAAATAATTTAAAATTCATTAAAATTTTTATTTTCTTCTCTACCATTTTTCAATTACCAACCCGACAAATAAAAATCCACAGGGAGCCTGCAAAGCATTTGGAAACGACATTTGAGTCGGCAACAACGACAGCATGCAATATATGTCCGTGGGATACAATTGAAATTGAAAGTGAACCAGCGCAGACATTACAACCACCTGTATCGCCGTCTGCAAATACATCAAAGTAGATAGAAAATTGGCAACCTTATTAATTTCAAAATTCCAATTAGTTACCATTTTTAATTTGCAGACCAAAATTAACAGTTGATTTACCATCAATACCATTTACATCATCATCATCCGATATCATTAATACTGATGTTTCAGAACGAATGAAACGATCGTGTGGCTTACGACAAAATACGTTAGATTCTGATTTTCATAGTTCTAAGAGATTGGCACCTGTTATCAGTGAGCATCGTCGGGCTTCTATGACAATAGCTCCCAGGTGAGTTGATGCACAAACATTTCAATTTATCAGTCATCATTCATAAGGCATCAAAGCTTTATTCTTATCATAATGAGACTTTACTTAAGAGTCCCTATAATTGTAAACCTTGTTTCAAAAAATCCATTTAAACTTTAACGAACGTCTAATCAGTTTACGACATCTAAATAGTCAGCTATGAAAATTTTTACAGCATTTTTATGTAAAAGCATGCTCTCATTTCCAATTCAATCTGCTTAAAAACCTTAATTACTCGAGTTGTTATTATATAATTTAATATTTCAAACCATTTATATCCCCATTACGCTGTTAAAGCTTCCTTCGCACGAAAAACTACATTATGTTCAAAAAAAGTTATTAAATGGCACATAATAATCCATTACAAAACCATTATCGCAAGTTAATGTCTCATGGTGTTGTAAATCTCATTTCTATCGTCATTTATGCCATATTGAGTAATTTGTGCATTTTATTTCGAGTTCTTAAGAGCTTAAAAAGCATTTAAATTCAATAAACAAATTGAATTTAACTGATTTTTAAAGTTTGAAATTTTCAATATCAAAAATTTTCATCACTTCAAATTCAAAATTGCGATTTTTTCTTTGTTTCAATGTTATTGAATCTTAAAATTAGCTTTAATTGATCATAAAAAGTAGCAACAGTTATTCCCAATCAATTCAAATATGCTGACTGCTCGAAATTAACGACTTTTGGAAAAAAACAATTTGATTTGTGGCAATATTCTCCCCATTTTTAAAGCTCTAGAAAAATCACATCTCGCCCATAAAGTTAATAAATCATAAATTATCAACTCATGTCGTTTAATTATCAATTACAGAATATCTGACTTACATTTTAATGTCACACCGCCGCCTAATGAAAGCTTTGTTGGAGATGATGTTTATAGCACATCAGAACTTTCATTAGTCATTAATAAAGCTGACAGTATCGAGTGCAAAGAAGAGATAAAGATATCGTCAGAAAGTCTACAGCAATCAAATGCTCAACAATCGGCATCACTAGAGCTTCCAAGCGGATATAATAATGATAATAATATTAAGGACGACGATGTGATTGTAACTGGAGATGCGACTATTGATACAAGTCGTAAATTGTCAATTGTTGACGAGCAAAAAGGAGCTGAGGTGGAACTAGAAAAACAAGACTCAATTGCTGACGTCCCCCAAACACCATCATTAGTTCAGCAATCATCATCATCATTAACGTCATTGCCAGCCTCAATTAGTACTCAAACACTTCCAACGCAAGAGTTCCCGGAAGTATCCGTATTGTCTAATACAGTAATCAATCAATCTATTGATGTGGAAGAAATAACAAATCAATCACAAGTCGCAAATGCTCCTGATATTGAAGCATCAATAGCTCAACATGAAATGCAGCAAACAAGTTCTCATGAAGGAGGAAATAGGAAAGAAAGAGTTTTTAAGAAGATGAAATCGCGTTCGATTGAGGAAACGGAGAAGAAATTGACACATTGTGGAAGTGATGAAGGCAATAAAATCGAGGATTTTTGTCAAGATAACACTGCGAGATCATCATTTGATGAGAATCAACGGCAGAATCTACGGCATTGTTGTAAGCAAAGCATTTTAACGCATCAGCAATCGCAAGCGTCGCAAGACGAGGACTACGAAATCGCAATGGTTTCAGGCCTACTTCCAGGTTGTGTTGGTAAGCTTTTAATTCCATTAAATGAATTTTATTTTTTTTCTATGTCATTTTCTAACGTCTCAATCACATATTAAGCCCCTGCACCAACTCCCGCGCCTTCTATAGCACCATTAGCTGAAATTGAAGTCGATCCTACGGAAGACGATACAGAAGCACCGAGTGAGCATTTTGAAAGTGATCAAAAGCCAGACATAGAGAGGAGAAAGAAGCGTCGAGAGAAGAAGGAACGTGACAGTGGATCAAGTCAAGCACAAGGTGAAACCAGTAGCTCAACGGATCCTGAAAAGGCTAAAAGAAATGCCATTTGTCCGTGGGAAGATGAGTAAGTATTAAATTTAGAAAGGTTTTGAAAGGTGGACTATGTTGGACACAGATTGTTAAAAATGTGGTTTCTTAACCGTACCTAATTAAGTGGGGTACAAAACTACGCAGTATTGAAATCTTACACAACTTTGTATTGTTGTTTTCATTAATACGCTAAAATAGAAAATCGAAGGGCATGAAACTACACTTTATACAGCTTCGAAGGGTATCAAACTACCATAAAACCTAAATTTTTTTCCTTAAAAGGATACAGATATAACATTTAAGAGTACAAAGCTACAAAAGTTCTTCATGATTAATCTTGATTCTGTCGGGAACCTTCTACTTTTATTGATCCTTGAGTCAATGTCTGCACGTGCCAAAATCTCGATATCATAACTCTCATTACTTTCTATAAATAAACTTCAGTCATTCCCATTTGATGCTGCATACTTTCAACAAAGTCCATCATAGTCATTGAAGAAAAATCCTTGATATACATTCCAATAAATGACAAATCTATTAATATTACACATTTTATCTCTTTCTTTTTTCCATTTCATCTTCAATCTGTTGAAGCAGAGAAATGACAGCACAAGTAGAAGCGCCATTTGTTAAAACCTACGCTACACTTGGATATCTTTAAAATGTCTATTTCACATGCACTCATTCACAGAATTAAAGGAGAAATAATGAACACATCATCAAATATATTGAAAAAGTTAAAAGATGAAAAAATTTAAAAAAAATACTTAACATACAAAAAAAATTAATGAAAAAATTCTCAAAACCATTTTTTTCTTCTCTATGAATATAACCAAAAAAATATTATAACTAAAAAAAGAAATGAACTTTAATAATGAATTAAAAGGAAGGACACAAAAAGTTAAAAAAATATATGAGAAAAAAATCCAAAAAGAATTAGGATTAACATTTAGGAAGCATTTATAAAAAAATTCAAAAAAAAAATGGAAAAAATGAAAGCAGTTGGACACGACGAGGATAAGTTACGATGGTAAATGAGTCCAATTATAATAATCGCATTATCATATTAAGCATTTTACAGTTAAAAATGAGAAAAAGTGATTAATCGAGTCATTTAGAGAATGTAATGAGAGTAGCTGAAGTGATTAAACTTTTCCCGCTTAACTTTTCAGAAAAAAAAAATTATTTCTTAATTGCGGTCCTGGAATTTTTTTCAAAATGTTTAAGTGAAGTGAACCCTTTTTCGAATTGAAGTTTGTCTGCGTTATGAGTTTAATCTGTGTAATTATGTTATTTCATGTGAGGAATATAGATGCAGTGGTCGTAGAGTATTTAAAAATTGAAGATCATAGATTCAAAAACGAATTGAAAGTTGTAATTGATATTTTTAATAAGTACGAACTTTAAAAGTTAAAAATACGAATTTCGAATGTTAAAAATTTCGAATTTCGAAAGTAAAATTTTAATTTCGAAAGTTAAAAATTGATTTTCGAAAGTTAAAAATTGATTTTCGAAAGGAACATTTTAATTGAACGTTAAAAAGGAAGACGAATTTCAAAAATTAAAAATTCAAATTTCGAAAGTTAAAAGTTCAAATTTCGAAAGTTAAAATTTCATTCTCGAAAATTTTGAATTAGATTTTCGAAAGTTTACAATTCGATTTTTAAAAGTAAAATCCAAATCAGTAAAAAAATTCGAAAGCTCAATATTTCAATTCCGAAGCTTTCAAGCTGACGACTTATAAAGACATCAAACAAGTCTATTAAGCTGCATATCAGCACAATATTACCGAAAAATATCTTCAAAAAAAAAATTTTTTTTTATACCCGACCGAAAATTCCTCCCGCATGATAATGCATAAGCACACAGTGAGAATCTCATTAGGAGTCATTGACTGATGAAAAGTTTTTATATCCATGAATAGTTTGCAGAAGGGAGAATCATGACTTTATATTGGTGAGAAAATTTCTTTATTTAATAACTGACAAGATGATAAAGTTTCCATAATTGAGTCCACACAGCAAATTAATACATGAATTGCCTGAGTACCATACATGAGCATGTTTAAGTTTCCCACTGACATTGCTGCTTTTTTGGCACTATCTACCTTAAAAAAAATAAATAAAATTCAACACGTGTATTCAGCACAAAATGCACGTATCTGTGAGAGGATTTTTACGCCACAAATACATTTTTGTTCGATCGTAAATTTCTCTTCATCACTCGTTAAGCTTGAAACTAAATCGAGAAATGTGATATGAATAATATAAAATAAAACGGATATGAGGGAATATGAAGCAATGAATTATTAAAACTGGATAGTCAGCAATCTGAACCTTTTCTCGCATTCCTTTTGACAATATACAGAAGATAATTTTGTGTGATTTCTCCTTGTTCGACCCTTAACGCATACATTTAATCTGCATTGCTGCCATCGCGAAACTAAAAATTGATTCATCCTCCACAGCAGTCTATGGACGAAACTTAAACAAAATAAAATAAAAATGTGAGCGTCGTGACATAAAAGAAATTCATTCTTTAATAATCAAAAAGAAACTTATCTATATATCTACATAAATATTTACATGTTTAATTGATGAATAACGACTTACATACAGCAACAAAAAAAATATATTTAAAATGAATTATTGAATGAAGAGCCCCAAAATTGATGAAAGAAAACTTTCAAAAAGCGCCTATTTGTCAGCATGAATGAAAACATTAATTAAATGCTGATCGGCTGTTGTGGTCGATGGAAATAATTTTTGTTTTTCATTAAAATATCGCGATGGTTTCGACAGAAAATTGTATTGTTGAGGATATTGAGTAATATTGGGAAATATGTACATTCTGAGTTGTCAAAATGAATGGAGAATATTTTGAAAATAATGAAGTATGTATATGCTTACGGATAATGAATGCAAGAGTATTAGAATAGATTTCAATGTAGTATGTGTGAAGATTCAAAGAAAAATCTAAAGTCTTTGAATCGTTCAAAAACAACAAAATCTCAAAAGCTTTAAGAATTTAGTAACTAAGAATTTAAATAACTTCTAAAGCATAAACAACATAAAAAGCTTTTTTAAAATCTCAAAACCATTTAAAATCTCAAAAACTTCAAAGCTTTCAAAAACAACAAAAGCTTTCAAAAACTTCAAAGCTTTCAAAAACAACAGAAACTTTCAAAAACAACAAAAGCTTTCAAAAACAACAAAAGCTTTCAAAAACAGCAAAAGCTTTCAAAAACAACAGAAGCTTTCAAAAACAACAAAAGCTTTCAAAAACTTCAAAGCTTTCAAAAACAACAAAAGCTTTCAAAAGTTTTCAAAAAAAACAAAAATTTTCATAAAATTTAAAAAATTCAAAAGCTTTGAAAAATCCTTAAAGCTTTCAAAAAGCTCTCACGAACCCACAATCTTCAAACCATCTTCCTTACATCAATAAATCACTTCTCCTTGAAAATAGACTTGATTATGACTGCTGCATCATCAATTTTTCCCAATAAAAAAAATCTTCTATGTCTAAACTTATTTTTTATGCAGATCAAGTACTCAGCAAATAGCCCAAGTCACACATTTGTTGATGAGATTAGAGACACTTGACAGAATTATTATCATGCTCATCTCATGAATGACAATTGCTTGCTGCTGTCTGAGATGATATTAAGCTCGCAAAATCTGGTTAATCAATAACTGACTTTTATTGGATTTATGATTGAAATTGATGTTAAGACCTCGAACGTAGAAATAATAATTCTGTCGATTTTATCAACTGCTGTGTCCCTCGGGTTTCTATTCAATTTTTCACAAACATTTTCCAATTTATTTATTTTTAAACGGAAAATGAAGGCAAAAATTTTCACATTTCATGTTAATTTTCTGGCAAATATCTAACATGAGATGCGATTGAAAGCACTTCAACTTCCTATTATTTCAAATTTTTCTATCACATCTCTATCCTTTAACACACAATATTCATTTCCATTTCCAATAAATAGTCATACACGAGTCTATTTTCCTGAGTGAATTGAAAGCGATAACAGGATTAGTGGTTAGGTAGAGCACTCAGCATATAGATCACGAAACATCATCAATTGTGAGTGTGAATAATAAAAAGTTTGTGGTCATTGTGTGAGAATGTAATGTCAGGTTTATTGTAGATGATAATGATACTGTCATTATTGCTGCCTATCCAAAAAAATTATTAAATTGTCAGTTCGAATGCATATATTTTTGGGAAAGGGTGTTACACAATGTGAAAAGAATGAAATTGTTGAGGTTGCGTGGTGCAGAGTTGGGAAATAATATTCAGTCTAAAGCTTGAAAGAGGCATGAAAGCTTATGGGAGGAAGAGATTCAAATATTTAAAATGTACTCAAAACTTCTTAAAAAATTTGAAAGCTTTTAAAATTCAAAATGTTTCAAAAAGTTCAAAAGCTTTGAAAAAGCTTCCAAAAACTTGAATAAAAAAGTTCAGAACTTTCAAAGTGTTTCAAAGCTCCCAAAAATTTAAAAGCTTCAAAAATTCAAAAACTTTCAAATTATGCAAAAGCTCCCAAAACTACAAAAGCTTTCAAATTTTTCAAAAGCTCTTAAAAATTCAAAAACTTACAAATTATTCAAAATGTCCCAAAAATTCAAAAACTTTCAAATTACGCCGGCAAAACTCGAAAAGCTTTCAAATTATTCAAAAGCTTCCAAAAAGTCAAAACCTTCAAATTATTCAAATTATTCAAAAATAAAAAAAAAAGTGTTCAAAAGATTTTAAAATATTCAAACGCTTGCTTGCAATTCAAGCTCTCAGCTCTGCTACAGCACTAAAAATGATAAGGAAATGGATTTTCAGCATGACTTACGAATGAGAATGAAAAATGTCCGTCTCGACATTCAGCATAAGTTTCAATGTACACCAAAAACATACGAATGAGATTGAAGGGAAATGGAACAGCTGAGTCATTGAAGATATTTAAATTATTTATGGTATTTATACGATATAAAATGACTAGAAATAAGGATCATAATATTATTCAACTATAAAACTAAAAAATAAAAATCGCATTTTGAGATATTTAATGAATTTAGTGAACACAAAACCTACACAGACACTACACAAAGAAAATTTATATTCGTAAAAAAATATTAATTAAAAGAAAATTTATTAAATTATAAAGCATATTAAGAATAGTCAACGTTTAATGATTAAATCTCCCAATTTAAAAAATATTTAAAAAGAAAATTTTGCGTAGGATATAGCATATAATATTAATTGACATTTAAAAAGATGGAAATAATGATAAGGTAAATTAAATAAATATGAAAAACAAAGAGTTCTGCTAATTAACTACAATGTATGTGTTGTGTAATGCGATTATGATAAAACATAAATTAGATAACAGCATTAATTGCACGCTCGCGCGACATTTGGCTGAAAGTTTTTTCCTATTTTTGCAAATTAAATTTCAACATTTTTGAAGTGTCGCGAAAAATTTTTCTAAAAACTTTTTTACTTTTCACTAGAATTGAGGAAGGAGCTACAAAAATTTACATTTTTAATTCTGATGTTTTAAAAGTTTGTATATTCTCTTCTGTTAAATTCCTGGAACTGAATTTTTATATGAGATTCTGTGGTTTTCCGTTTGTAAATGTTGAAGGTTCAGTCATAACACAGACAAGACCACACGCATTCTTGGAATATGCAGTTGATGAATCAATTAATTTAAATTCAATTTTAAGCTGGAATTTAAAGTTTTTCTGAACATGCAACAGATCTGAATTTTACTGTAGATTCCATTGAAATAACTGATGATTTTACATGATGGACTGCATTCAACTTGATGGTTGAAAATTCATCGAAAGTGCTCAATGGCATAAAATTCTCAATGGTTTTGGATTTTTCATAAAATTTTAATGTATATGGTCAGTCAGGCATGATTTTATAAGTACCTGACTCGCATTGAGATTTGATCCACAAAACTCCTACTCCAATTCAGCATACAATCTGAAATTTCAACAAGTATCTATTTATAGATCCACATTTCATACCAAATCAACTTCATTAATGCTCAATCCAAATAAATCCACAACAAAAAATAAAACATCAAGCTTCACTAGCTCGTCAACATCAGAACCTATCTATAACCACAATGAAGACATCACAAAACTTATTTATAGACCATAATCCAATTAGCATCACAATAATGTCTGTGAAGTCAACTGATGAACATGAAAATGATTAACGTTTGTCATCAAGGAAATGAATATCAACTATGGTCACTTCCGTTATGTCGTAATATTCCATAAAACTTGTTTAGTGTTCTGAAATAGATTATAATTGGCATAAATGAAGGTTGATGTGCGGATATATGGGTTGATGGA